ATGCCTTTGTTCATGTAAGTTAGCATCTACATGCATGACAACCTCTTTAAACAACATCACACTGCTTGTGGTATTTTGAAATAGCTATCACATAAGATTGTCATTATCCTAATTCATATCCACAAAAAGTGAAAAGAAAGGCTTGTATATCCAGCTGCTGTTCAACAGACCTGGCTGGAGGATGACAATTTTATACAAAAATTTCAAGCTAAGAAGTTGTCTAAAAATGCGAAAACTATTTAATGTAAATATTAATTCTGTCAGAAAGTTCAATTTTATTCTTTAATTTCAAAAAAGCATGTCTCCAGTCTGAACCCTCCTTGTGGAAAGCACAGACAGACACTCTTTCCCCCAGCAGCTCCATTAAAGTAAAAAGAATCCCACTAGTTCTGAACATAAGCCTTTCTGGGGCTTTTATCAGGAAGGAAATTCTGAAACATGTGATCTATTTTAAATAGACAGTATGGCATATGGTAGTCTGATGAGTGAAATATCAGGATTTGTCAAGCTCCAATACAAGTGTTTCAAGTAACAATTTTACAACAGAGCAAGCACCTCTTCCATACTTTTTCCATACTATCTTCCATAACTCTGTTAACGGAAAAAATCTGCTAACACAGTGCCAAAATAAAAAACAAAACACAATACACACCTTTTCCTGAGGAAGCCCCTTTATTCAGAATTTGTATTGCTCGACGTATGTCCAAGTTGAAAAGTGCTACAGCAGCAGCTCGCTCCCAGTCTCCCTCCTGCTCCAATGAATTTAGGAAAGGTTCCACATCTAAGTCTGTTCCCTTCTTTATCCACCCACAGAGCTGCAAAGCCAAAGATCTCTCCTCACTCAGATATTGAATAATATCTGCCTGTCTATCAGATCCACTCCTGCTGTGCCTGAGGCTCTCTGTTGTTCCTAGAAATGGGAAATAAATTAAATTATGGTTAAATCACAGTTTCAGTTGCAATTACAACACAAAGCTTTGAATACAATCATAAAGCAGGGTGCAAAAGCTGAGTGTCTCATATTAGTACTTTAACATTGCTTACAATTCCATGGGAAGGAGCAGCATGCACAAAATTATTTTGATCTACTAAAAATTATGCACCTAAGCTTGACACATATTTCTCAGTCTTTTTTCTCTTTACCACTTGTTACATTTGACAGTTCTCAGTATGTTCAAATTGAAAATACATAATACACTGTCAAGCACCTGCTCTACCAGCTCTCAGTCTGCATAAATGTGTGAAAAGCTTTCCCACCACTGAAGACATTTATTGAAGAGAGAAAGTATTCAAGTAATAAATTATACTAAGTAAGATTTCAGCAAGCATGCGAGGCAGAATGTGATGAACCAGGGTTGATCACCACTTCAGAACAGGTCAGCTTATTTAAACATAGTCGTACAAAAATACTTAATAGCAGTGACAACAGCAATCATGTGGAGCTTTAAAAAATACAATATTCTGCAGGGAATACAACATTATTGTATATTGCAAAAAAGTATAATATTACTCAGGGAGCAAGAATTCTTAGTGCCATAGTCAAAACTCAAATGTTTGAAACAGTTCAAAGATTTACTTCTGAGGATACTATGCTTCTATAATTACTGACTTTCCAAGAACACTGTAAACTCTGGAAGTTACGTTAACTTACATTATTAAAACACAAACAGAAATACTTTGTTTTTATATTTTTGAATAGTCTCTTTGAACAATTGCCAAAGACAAACTCATGAGTGCATCATTCTGCAAACATACTACAACAATACTTAGCAAAGTTGGAACATTCTTACCCAAAGATGACTTCACAATTGATTTAATGCCAGTGTAAACTAAGGGACCTTTGTTTCCTGTAAGTTTTTGATCCATATCTTCAGTATACTGCTTCATAAGTATTTTCATGTATAGGAAACTTAATTTTTCCCAAAAATGTTTTTAAAAATTTAAAGTCACATCCTGTTAACATATACAAAGTATTAACAGGATGTTGCATTGTATTTAAAGATTTTAATGCATTTTATGTAAGTAGTTTACATATAAATATATCTTACTTCCTTAGGACAAAAACTACAATAAAATAAAGGATATAATGCAGAGTGTACCAAAGCGATTTCAGCTGAGGATCTTCATTTCCAGCGAGGAGGTGATTTCTCCAAACTTGTTCAGTATCAAGACCATACCTTGACAGAGCCCTGAGGCGCATTTTGGTTGCTATGTCTTTTTCCAAGGAACTAGCCTTTCCTTCTTCTGTACACTCATACAAATGTCTTCCACAAGCCCACATTAAGGATGTCACTGGGCTCCATGCAAGAGAAATTCTTTCAAAAACTGTGAAGTCGGACATAGTCCTGTTGGGAGTCACTACTACCATTCGATTTTGACTTGTGGGATGCCAGGCAAATGAAGCAATGTAATTTTCACATGGCTGGACACTTCGCTCAATTATTGTCGGCTCAGTTTCATCTCCAATAGGGGTGGGAGTATGCTGCATGTCATACAGTCTAATGATGTTACTATCCCTCGTTAAAGTAGCTAACAGTCCAGTCCTTGTTGGACACCATGCAACTTTTGTTAAGGGTTTTGGTTGCTCTGTCAGGGTCAAAACAGGCTTTTCAAACTTTCTTAAATCCCATATGGCAACCTGACCTTCATAGAAGGAAGCAACACGATCGTGGAAATAGGGATCAACAGTCACCCCCTGGACAGCCTTGGTGTTTACAAATATTTTTTGGCTTGTGTTCCGAAGATCAAAGATAGCCAGATTTCGATGCATTCCAGCTAGTAGCAGTTTCTGATCCCGTGGAAGCCAACAGAGAGAGAGACAAGCATCATTCTGTCCTAATTCATATAGTGGTTTTGTAACTACCAGGCCTGCTTCCACATCTCCTGCTGAAAGCCTCACTTTCTCTGTAGCAACTGCAGTCTCTGGGGCATATTTGCTGCTGATATCCCAGATCAGTACGGAAAAGTCAGCCCGATGTTTATCTAACCCAGCAGCAAGCCAGTTGCTATCCAGTGGGTTCCACGCCAGGGTATTGCATTGCCGAGCGTGTTTGGGAACAAACTCTTTGCCTATCAAATCTTTACATTTTGAGTTGTGGTCTTGCCCAAGGCTGGTAAGTACCACTCGTCCATTGGCCTGTCCAACAGCAAGGAGACATTCAGGATCATACTTGGGATACCAAGCCACACATTTCATGTACGGTGTATCCGAATTTATTGACAGTAGTGTGGCTGTAGTTTCCTCCGACAGCCGCAAGGACCCTGCCTTGAGCTCTGAACTTACAGCAGAGTCAATGTGATAAAGGCTCAGCTCTGAATCGCACACAACAAATCTGTCAACATGGTGCGGGGCCCACAGGATATCAGGTTTGGAGCCACTCATGGCTAGGGTAAGTTGACACACAATTTAAACTCTGCTAAGAAGATTCAGGTGATATCCATGCATATGGAAACTGTTGAGAAAATAATTAGTAGGAACGTTATCAAAACCCAAGTTCTTTATCTGAAATCATCATTAAACAAAATTAAATTATTTTTAGCCTGAGAGTTTATCTCCTAACACATTTCATGCCAAATCATTACGCATTCTCCTCACAACACCTGCTGTTTCTGTTGGTATGTATGTACTGAGACAGAACCAACACAGCCACCTACAAACTGATGACAACAGGATTCGCTGTGTTTACAAACTCCACACCAGTATTAAGCAAGAAGACATTACCCGAGATGCGCTGTGGCAGGATATGTGGGTGTGCCAGGTATGGCTTGCTCTGGGAAAGACCCACTCCCTCAAACATCTAAAGAGAATTTCCCTGCCTAATTAAAAAGCATTAAGTGACAAAAATTAGAGTCTGTCAGTTTTGTCTGAAACCCACTCCACATGCTAGAAAGGCTTCCTCTCTTGGAAAATTTCAACAGAAATTAAAATTGTCATCTAATTGTACAGCTCCCAGTCCCACCACCTGCCCCAGTGCGACCCTGTCTCCGTTCCTATCTGGTCCAGCAGCATTCCAATAGGCACATTACTGTAAAAACTCCCCGTACACGTTCAGTAGCTGCATGCCCAGAATCACTACATGTGCCTATATGCAAACAGACCGCACAGGTCCTGCACACGTCTGCTATCATTGTGGAAAAGGACAGGCAAGATCGGGAAGTATGAAAAACGCGCATTATTTACTACACTTGGGCCCCTCTGTGTGCCTGCAGGTCACTCCCCGCGGCCGCCTCCGAGGGGGCGCAGGGCCCCGGCCGCGGCCCGCTCCCGGCAGGAGACGCGGAGCGCGGAGACGGCCGCAAGAGGTGACCGGAGCCAGGAGACCGCCACCCTGCCACCCTCCCTCCGTCCCTCCGTCCGTTCCCGGGGCGGCAGCCGCTCACCCAGCCCGCATGAAGCTCCGGCCCGGCCGCCCCAGCGGCGCCGCCGCCCGCGCAGGGGAAAAGGAAACGCGCGGAGCTTCCGGCGTGCCGGGGAAGCGGAAGCGCCGCGCGCGCGCCTCCCTCAGCGGCCCGAGCGGAGCGGGGCGGGGCGGGGCGGGAGTGGGGGCAGCTCCGGGCCGGGAGCGGGGCAGCTCCGGGCCGGAGAGAGCCGGGAGTGGGGACAGCTCCGGGCCGGAGAGAGCCGGGAGCGGGGGCAGCTCCGGGCCGGGAGTGGTGCAGCTCCGGGCCGGAGAGAGCCGGGAGCGGGGACAGCTCCGGGCGGGGAGCGGGGCAGCTCCGGGCTGGAGAGAGCCGGAAGCGGGGACAGCTCCGGGCCGGGAGCGGGGGCAGCTCCGGGCCGGAGAGAGCCGGGAGCGGGGCAGCTCCGGGCCGGAGAGAGCCGGGAGCGGGGACAGCTCGGGCTGGGAGCGGGGCAGCTCCGGGCTGGAGAGAGCCGGGAGCGGGGGCAGCTCCGGGCCGGAGAGAGCCGGGAGCGGGGACAGCTCGGGCTGGGAGCGGGGCAGCTCCGGGCTGGAGAGAGCCGGGAGCGGGGGCAGCTCCGGGCCGGAGAGAGCCCGGGAGCGGGGCAGCTCCGGGCCGGAGAGAGCCGGGAGCGGGGCAGCTCCGGGCCGGAGAGAGCCGGGTGCCCTCGGGACGCACTTTTGGCAGTGGGGTCCAGGGTGGCCCTGCTGGAGCAGGGGGATTGGACCGCCGCCCCCTCCAGCATGAAGCGTTCTGTGACCACAAAGAACATCTGAGTCTCATCGCTTTTGCGACTACCTTAAAACAGAGGGCAGACAAAATTAAGAGAATAAAAAGCAGTTATATTTGTTGAAGGGCCTCCAGGTGCATTAGAGCAGACGGAGCTCCCTCAGGAGCTACGCCCAAAAATGGACCACGCGTCACAAGTTTTCATACTTTGATACGTTTGATCCCTTTGCATATTGGGGTTTAATCTTCCAGTTACAGCTTCAGGTAATGAAGTCATTACCTAAGTTTGCTCCCCTCAACCTCACTTTTGTTTACGTTTCTTATAGCTCACACTCTATATGGAGTTTAAAGTTATACACTAAAGCATTGCAGGATTACAAATATATGAAATATATAAAAGCTGACATTCTAAGATATCAATTCCAATGCCCCTGCCAAGGACACCTCCCAGTGTACCACGTTGCCCAGAGCCCCGTCCAGCCTGGCCTTGGGACACTTCCTGGGATGGGACATCCCAGCTTCTCTGGGCCACCTGTGCCGCTGCCTCACCACCCTCACAGCAAAGAATCCCTCCCTCATAGCCAGTCTAACTCTACCCCCTCTTGCTAGGGACATACAAACAGCCAAAGCACAGGGGCTGGCGACTATGTACCATCTCTGGGCAACTTTTCCCATTATTTGATGACACAATTATAATGTTTTCTTACATATAAATTGCTTGGGGGGGGGGGGGGAAATCGTATTTCCTCCCTTCTGTGTCATTAGGATTTTGCAACCTGTTTTTCTGCAAGCCATGGAGATATGAACTGTTACTTTTTCCATTTTCTTTTCAATGCTCTTTAAAATTTGCTGTAGTAAAAGTTACAAACGAAAGTATTAATTCAACAGTTTCCTATTCTCTCAGAATAACTTCCTTCATAAAGAAACAGTGGTATTTGGCCTGCAAATACTTAAACATCACATTTTTAAAGTTTTCTTCAGCACTGTTAGATTCAGGACATTAGCTCCTTACTTTAGCTGCTTTTCATTCTTCATTTTTTATAAAAGAAAGGAAATGCATATACTTTGGCTTTCTTATTAAATATTTTCCTACTTTCGTTTTTAATTATAGCATATAATTTTTAATGGCCTCTCCAATGTTTTTATAACTTAGCAAAACATCTTTAAGGAAATGTATGATAAATCGTTGTTCATTCATTTTTTCAATAATCTGCATGTATTCAGTGCCTTTAGTTTAAAAAATGTGTATGGAGTGGCTTTGAACATCATTTGTGTTAATGTCTGTTGTCTCTTTTCTTGTCTCTAAGCGTAGTGGAGAATTTATTACAAACTACATTTTATGTGTTATATTTTCATAGGGTTCATTAATTTAAACCACAAATGTCATTTAGTGCTGCAACAACTAGTTATTTTAGATTTCGTTGTACTATTCCTTCAATTTTAAAAGCACTTTTTTTCATAAAACCAGCTGGGTTTTTTGGTTTTTTTTTTTTTTTTTTTCCCTTAATAACAGAAATCTTTAAGAGCTCAGCAGTTGTTTTGATAAATAGACCAAAGCATGTGGAAAAATACAAAAGTAATTCAGATTAAGTAGTCTATCATATATTGAAGGCAAAATTGGCAAGCTGGATTTTCATGCTTGTATATTTCATCATTCCATTTTCTCTGCTGCTGTTGAAGTGGAACATAGTGACTTTTTCACCTTTGTTTCCAAGAGTCACCAAGATTTCCCAGAATCTTGTCTGAATGTGGTTCTTTTTATAACAAAGAAGTTCAGTTTGTATATTCCTTACATTTTTCTATGGGGAAGTATGGGAGTTTGGTTTATAAATGTAGGTAATACTTGCAATAATCACAAAATCCGACTATGATTCTAAGGATAAGTTTTTCAGGTGCTAGTGAATCAGCAGCTGAACTATCTGACATCCTGCTCATTTCTTGAGTCCTAATGATGGTCCGAAAAACTACTACCAAATGCACAAGCTGCAGAAGAGCTGTTGCCTGTGTCTTTTGCACAAGAGTGATTCAGAGAGATTGAAAATGAGAGATGGTATTTTGAAGCAATAGTTGCTGTTACACAATGACAGATACTAAGTAAGTTAAGAGAAACATAAGAGTTATTTGGTGTTTCAGAATGCAAAAGAATGTTACTACCCCAGGGACTGTGTAACAGTTACTAGATTTGTTACATGAACTGCTGGGACATAGATGATTTATATTTGATCATTCTACCGCATGCAGAAATTATGTTTCCTACGTTGATCTCAAAATAAATGGTGCACCAGTATTTCATTAGTGAGGTTGTGAATTCCTCTAATGTTTCTGAACTAATTTAAACTCTTGGATCTTTGCTTCTGTTTTCCATGCTCTGATTTACCATTTTAGTTTGCATCTAGCTGTCTCCACATTTGCATCTTTGGTTCAATAGAACCATCTTTATTTGTAAATAATACAGAATATTTGTTTAGTTTTGGTGTTGTACTTAGGTGATTATTAATCTCTTCATCACCATTGCATAACAAGTATTTTTTATAGTTAATTGTTTCTTGTAATTCATAAAGTTGAATAAACTTGCACATTTAAACCCCCAAATCATTAAGGATCTAATTCAGCTTGACTTTCATCAAGTCTCATTTTAATCCTACATTTTTTGGCCACTCAGACATTGCCTGGACTTGTGATCAGTCCCTGTTCTATTCCTTGTAAGATCTGCTTATTTCTTATGTGGATTTATATGTAACAATTACTTTCATGCCATTGTATCTCAAACTGTTTTCAGCAATTTCTCTCCATAGACGATATATATTTTTTTTCTTTGCTCTGACTGCAAGTTTGCTCTATGTAAAAATCTCTGAGTTCTTTAAAAATTTTTAATCATGGGGAGACTTTGTACAGTGAAAGTTCTGTTTTGAACTTATCTTTTTCTTTAAAGATACATTAAAATTTATAAGAGATCAAGGTATACCCAGGTTAGTTAATTTTTTTTTATATTAACTGGAAGCTGTTTTTTTCTGACAACTTTGTTATGCTTTTTCATATTTGATTCCTGGAAGGCTGGCTTTTTTGCTTAGTTTATGTTAATCTTTGAGATTTTTTTGTTTGTGTCATGTCTGGCCAATATAGCTAAATCGTTTCAGGAATACAGAAACACGTAAATACTGCTGGAGTTTTGTATATTGCAATGCAGTGTTAACACTGGGTTTAAAGACGTGTCAATTATTACTTTAGTTATCTAAGTCTACTGCTGCTCTTCCCTTTACAGAAAAAGTATATATTCTGTCATTGCTATTTTTAACATTACTACTGGTTTGGGTTATGATACTTAAACTTGCAGAATCTTGATGGAGCCTAGCAGATTGTTTCAGATATAGTGTTGTACTTCTGCATGCCGTGATGCATAGCTGGTAGTATTGCTTTATCTGATTTTTGGTAAGAGAAGAAAGTGTTGATTACATTGGGAGTTCGAAGTTGGAGGTCAGACCTCTCAGTCTATGTGAAATGTATGTCTCTATAAAGATCCAAATTAGATTCACAGATTCAGCAGCGTGATGCCGAATTGATAAACACAATTTGCAAGACTGTTTCCTCCAGGCTTTAGTATTCTACTGAAAATTCTTTTGTTTGCACAGATCATACTTTTGTTCTTTGTATGTTGGAATTATCACTTAATTTTATATAATTTCATGTTAAAAACATAATGCAAGTTGCTGTATTCAAATGCCATATATTTTCAGTGCGAAAAAGGTTCAGAGGATCCAATAGGTCCAGTTGGGCCACCAAGTCCTTCACCTTTGTCATTCATTACTTGAGCCATTCAAAACAGAAAGCCTTTTAAGTAAGGAAGGTGGCTCTTCTTTTGATGGCAGAATGGCCTTTGTCAACTGCGCAGGCTTGGATAAGAGGGGAAAAAACTCTCAGCTTCACTTGAGTAAATGAAGCTGAGAGTTTTTCCCTCTTATCCAAGCCTGTGTCGGATTCATTAATGGATGTAGAAATCCATTAATGTTCCTGGCGGTTGCTGTACTTGTTATTCAGTGGGATGCATAGAAATGTGAGCAAGGGGAATTTCACAGGTACATTTGTTTTCTTTTGTTTTTCTTTTGAAGATAACTACTGCATTTTATTAATTGAGAAACTGGTCTGTGGAAGTTTAGAAATTAATGTCTTATCTAATCTTTTTAGGGTATCCAGGCTCCTGAAAGAATACCTAGACCAAAAGGATTGCAAAGTTTGAGTGTTCAAAGTCCAAAGGTAACATGAGATATAAATCCTGATTTTAGAAGGATAGAGCAGGGGATATTTGTGAAGAGGACAAGGCTTTTCATATATTAGAGCTCGTATTCTTCTAGGAAAACTCATGAAATAAAAGGTTTGATCACTGTAGGCTGTTAGAGAGAGAATTTCACTTGAGCTCTATCACATATTTTGATAAGCAGAGACAGAGAGGATTTACAAAGCGTTGCTTAAAGAATTTGAAATTTAAATAAGCTTGGTTTTAACAATATTCCATGTTGGTTAGCCTGACCAAAGCCTTTATTCAAATTGGCATTTTTTTGTAGCCATGAAATGGCTACACAATGGATGCTGCAATGACTACACATTTGGCCATCTTTGCTTTAAGCTGTAAGTAAAGTAAAACATTTAAACAAATAATTCTAAATTGGAATTTGGGATGGGTTTTTTTTTGGTGTTGTGGTTTTTGTGGTTTTTGTTATTTTTGGTTAGAGGTTTGGTTTTTGTGGGTTTTTTTCATTTTTGGCACTGAGGGGTATGTGTTTGTCTTTTTTTTAAGGAAAACAAAGTGAGCCTGGTCCAAATGGAAACTGTGGAATTTCAGAAACTGTGGGATTTTAGGGACTGCCAGGAAGTAAAGTGAATCTGTTGTAAACAGTTACCATTTTTGATCCATGCTCTGTTTCCTTTACAAATATGAGTAATAATTTACCTTATTACTGGTGCAAAACACTTCTCAGGCCAGTGCTACAGAAGTGACACAACAAGACTGTAATTTCCCTTCTCTGACAACCTAGAACCATACTTACTTCAGCGATTCATACCGCTTTGCCAATACATTCACTTTTAGCTTTCATTAACTTTGCAGTACTCAGAAGATCCATGTGAGGTATTGGTGCTCTTAATCTAGATATTTAAAAGAGACGAATGTGTGAAATGGGTATTTAGAATCTCAGGATCAGGGAGGAACTAAGGATAAAACCAGTTCTTCAGGACATATCCTCCCTCCTCAAAATATTATTTCTTAGTCTTTTAATATCTTGGTCTTTGGGTTCCACCTTCTATTACAAGGGCACAAATGTTTTGCCCAGACAGTAGCCTCCTTCATTAGGTGTGTATAAATGATTAAATGCTGAATGAGGCACCCAGTATGAAGTACTATCATTACTATCATTACTATCTTTATGCATTATCATGTAGATACACCAGAGGGCAGGATTTATATAGCATAAATATCTTCATAGCTTAACTATTCAGCAACTAAGTGATCAATTTGACACATTGCAATCTGGTTTAAGAAGGCAAGTAATCACAACTTTGCTTATGCAGTGTATGAATAACAACAGCACTGAGTCAATATATAGGATCAGTGATTTTTAAAAACTGTTTAAAATATTTATTTCAAATTGCACCTACTAGTGATGTCTCCTAGCCAGAGAAAAAAATATCTACTATAGTAGATATTTTCTTATAGTAATTGTTGTCATTCTTATTAAGTGAAGAGCACACTAGGGCAAAAAATATAAATTTAAGGCACTGAGTTTTGATTGATAGCATCAAACAAATTGACCCATAGTATAAGTCCTCTGACATTTTATATTCATATATTCTAGAATACTCACCTTCTTTCATACTTGTATAGGTTGTATCATATTGGCATTAAGTTGTGGCTTTTCAAGCAACAGAATCATAATTTACTATGTCTATCTTCATACAAAAGCACTCTCTGATCTTTGTCAGATCTCTCTTTTTATTTCTTCTTTACCATAATTTGGGTTTCAGTAATGAGAATAGCAGGAAGTATTCAAGGAGTGCAGGTATGTACAGGAACAAAAGCTATACATTATTTTTTCCAGTAGAAGAGATGAGTTAGCATGTATGCAGGTACTGAAGGATTTTTGACTTGAAATTCAGTAGCAACATAAAATGAGTTGTACAGATAAAATTTTGTATTGCAGACTACAGTTTAGTATGGTCAGGTAATGAGTGCATTTTGACAGATTCAGTAGTCCTGGCAGCTGAATATGCTGAGGACCTGGCTCAGAGCATGTGGTTCAGGGCAGCAATTGGAACACTGCTGTACTGGAAAACTTTGCAGGAAGTATTAATGTTAAAACAGTGCTGTGATTCTGGAGGCATTACTTTCATCAAATTTGAATTCTAAGTGAATACAAAGCTATGAAAATATTTCCTAAAAACAGTAGTGAAGAAAAAAAAAAAGAAAAAAAAAGTGCTGTGAATTGTAAATCAACAATCCTGTTGTAGAACTGTCAAGATTCTTACTGTACTTCCAAAACACAGTAAGAAGTGAAAAAGAGCTTAGACTGTTCCCAGAGACCAGTTACAGACCAACATGTAACAGATTTACGGATGTTCTAGACAGAGAAATGCAACCAAACTTGACCCCATTACTGTCCAAATATAGCATGTGCATCAGTGCTACCAGAGTACATGTATATTTGACTAGTCAAATTGTTGTGTCTAAAAATCATAAGTGTTAATATTTTCTGATCTCTGCCAGATCAAAGTCATGTTTGCAGATTCCCCAAAAAAGTGAGAAATCTTTGAACACATCTGGAAATCCATTCATTCAATTCTATTTTAACACAGTGTAGACAAAACTTGCCAACTGCTGGAAAAAGAATTTTTTCCCTATCTGTTGATGTGATAGGCTGTTTGCAGTCTTGATCTAAGCGTGCATAAGGGTAAGAATAAGTATGTAAACAGTATGAGTGATCTGTGTGACTAATTTGTTGCTAATGAAATGTTTGATCATCACCAATGTCTCTAATACAACAGATGCTGGGTGCTAACAATAATTATCATTTGTAGCACTAACAGCTATTTAGTGTAAAATATTGAAAATTTTTTGTTTTCCATGTGTGTAATGAAGACAACATTTACTTAATGAAGACAATTAGCCTCAATAAAGATGACACATATTTGACAGGAGACAAAGTAGAGGTTTATAGGAAGGAAGCCCTTTAGGATGAGGCTGCAGCTGCTAGGCCAACAAATCCTTCCTCACTTGAACTGGGTGAAGATAGTGAGCAGTGGTGGCAGGTAGGATTTTTTCTGTTAGCAGCATGTTCCTTCAGTACATTCCATGTTAACAGAGGATGAACAAACTGACAAAGCTGTGTAGGAATGGTACTATGTATAATCATAGGGCAAAGGTACAGCTCTCATATGCAACCTGTCATGGCTTAATCCTCTCCAGCAACTAAGCACTTCACAGCCTCTTGCTTACTCTCCACCCTCATCAGGATGGGAGGAATGCAACTGGAAGGGTAAAAATAAGAAAACACATGGGTTGAGAGAAGAACAGTTTATTCATTTTTTCCAACTAATTAACCTATTAATTTTTTTAAACCAATAACAATAATAACATTGTAATGAAAAGGAAAATAGCAAAGAGAAACGAAACCACAAAAGTGCAATGAAAACAATTGCTCACCACCAGCTGGCACATGCCCAGGCAGTCACTGAGCCTTGGGCCCCCAGACAACCTTCCTCCAGCTTTATATCCTGATCATGATAGCATATGGTCTGGGATATGCCTTGGGTCAGCTGGGGTCAGCTGCCCTGGCTGTGTCCACTGCCAACTCCTAGTGCATCCACAGCTCACTGTCTGTTGGGGTGAGATGAGGAGAAAAGGCCTTGACCCTGTGTAAAAGCACTACTCAGCAAAAGCTGAAATGCCCCTGAATTTTCAGCGCTGTTTCCAGCATGAGTCCAAAACAGTCCCATACCACCTACTGAGGAGAAAATCAACTCTGTCCCAGCCAAAACCAGCAACCAAAACAGATTAATGTTATCTCCATCTTTGCTAAAATCTCTTTGAGTTCCTTCATATTTGTCTCACCCTTTAATTTAGTTAAAGTTACATATGGTATCATACTAATGGCTCACAGAACACATGAATAGATAACGGTGTTGGCAAAGGTGTATTTCTAATTTAATGTCTCTGTGAAGGGATCTAGCCTTGGAGAAGCAGAAAGTGAGTGCTTAAGGAAGTGTTTAGTCTATCAATAGAGAGACCATGCACCAGGCTACATGAAGGATGTTTACTGACCTTAATGAAGACAGATACTTTATGTTCATTGGTCAGTTGTGCCTTATTCTTTTCATCCCTATTCTTTCCCTTTCATGCACATTTTTTTTAATCAACAGGAAATATTCTCTGCTTACATAAAAGCTCAATGTACTTACTGACTCCTAGTCAATGTATCCCAGCCAGCCCTGAACTAATGTGGTATTTACTGCTGCAGCTGGATTCTGCTAAGTGTATAGGGACTGGTGGGTTTCATTCCAGGGTAGTCAAAGGTATTATGTCCTTTTGAGACCTCACTCAATGATTTTTCAATGGTCTTGGGAATCTGTAGAGGTTTCAGTTGTCTGGAAGCTGGCAAATGTTGGCCAAATTTTCAAGATGATCTAGATGATGACTCTGGTAACTGCAGGTCTGTCAGTCTCACATCAGTGCCTGGTAAAATTATGGATAAGATTACTCTGGGAAGTAGTGAAAAACTACTGAAGGACAATACAGTCATCATCGGTCACATCATCGGCCAGCATGCCTTCATGGGGGAAATATCCTGCTTGTCGAAGTTAATTTCCTTTTATGACAAGGTAACCCACCTAGTTGATCAAAGGAAGCCAGTTGATACCATATTTTTAGACTTCAGTAAAGTTTTTTACAATGTCTTTCACAAGGTGCTTTTGGACAAAATATCAATCACACAGCTGGATAAACACATAATGTGATGTGTGAGCAACTGACTCAGGGGTCAGGCACAGGGTTACAGTAAATGGGGTGACTTCAAACTGGTGATCTGCCACTAGTGGGATTCTTCAGGATCTGTCTTTGGCCCTGTGCTCTTCAACATTTTTATAAATGATTGGGGACACAGGTCTATAAGGTATACTAAGTAAATTTGATGATGATACTAAATTGCGAGGAGCTATTGACTCCATCAGAGAGGCTCTGCAGAGAAACCTTGACAAATTAGAGGGTTCAGCAATCACCATTTGTATAAAGTTTAACATGAAGTCCCAGATTCAGCACCTGGGACAGGATAATCTTGCATTCTGTAAGGACAGAGTGGGGCACAAGAGGCTGGAAAGGGCTCTAGAGGTCCTGGTTGATTGTAAGGTGAACATGAGTTGACAGTGTGTCCTGGCAGCCAGGAACAGGCACTGGAACAGGCTCCCCAGGAAAGTGGTCACACTCCAAGCCTGGAAGAGTTCAAGAAACATTTGGACAACTTCTTCGGCACATGGTGTGATTTTTGATGTTAGCCTGTGCAGGGCTAGAAGTTGGACTACATTCTTGTGGGTCCCTTACAACTCAGGATATTCTGTGATTCTGCCCTGTGACCAGGTGCTGAGGGATGTCTTGCCTGGTAGGCAGCACCTAGAGATGGTGTCTAGAGGATGTCTGCTACCTTCTGCTGGGCATTTGCACTTAACTCCCTTGGGGCATGTTATGATTCCTTGAGACTTACCACTGGCATGCTTTCTCTCACCCCATTTTTTTACTCAACCCTGTGATAACACAGTTTTACTCTGAAGTCTGCCAGTAGATAGAATAAATATAATTTCCATGAAGCATTCTGAAAGCTGCTTGCATTACCCCTTTTAGATATCATGTCTGTATCTGATTCCTCAGTGGATTTAAAAAGCAGGAAGAATTTCTGAGGAAACCAGCTCAAGAAGATTTTTTTCTTTCTTTTTTTTTTTTTCCAAGTTGTCTTTTATTTTTGTAATTGCTACTTCAGTTACCACCTTTGAGTCCTGCAGTCCTGGCAGACTCTCAAACCATCAAGTCAGACTTCAGTTCTAGCCTGCAAGTGATGTACTGCTCTCACATTTCTGATCTAGCCAGTGCTGTAAAAATCCCTGAGTCATCTACTCTAATGGACCTGGAACAGGCAAAGAAACACTCTGAATTTTAAAGGTTTTTGACATACTCTGCAGCTGCCGTGTTTGCATTTGCGAGTTTCTCTTCTGGGTGCTGTGCAAGAAACTGTCTACATTTCTGCACAAGAAGATCTTTAAAATCAGTCTCAGTATGTAAAGATGAGCTGTGGATCTTCTAATAATAAAATTACAGATGTGATTATCTAATGATATAAACGAGATAGAGTTTTTAGGGAAGAAGGGGCATTATTTTTATTAGATCAGTTGTCATAGGCAGAGTTCCAGGTATTCTGAATACATTTAATTCAAATAGAAGCAACAGACTTCAAGATAATACAGCTTGATTACTGCTACGCTGCTACTCTGCTACTCTGTGTTTAATTTTAATATGTTAATCGGATAGCATGGACTATTGCAATTTAGTTCTTGGGAATACCTTTTCTGTAGGGTGAATAAGGCCAGGTAAGACCACAGGGCCCACCAGGACCACCAGGATCAGGCCATCAGGGAGCACAGGTAAGTCCATATTTTGGACATGTAATGAGCATTTGCATAATGTTTTCATTTTATATTTTATCAGAGCTATAATTTTACTGTAAAGGCATAAAAAAATTCATAGTGATTTTTCATTTTTAAATGTATCAAACTAATTTGTCAGCAAAGCTTGTAAATGCAACTGGTTTTGACTGATTTGAATCATCTTAGAATCAAGCAAATGTAAATGTGTTCTAATCTGCATAATAATTTGCATAGTAGGTAAATCAGATAGCATTGCTTTGACGGTGATTTATTATACATAAGAATTTTAAAAGGCTAAGGTACCTACCAATTCTGAATGTCAAGCCCTTTGAGACTTGAACACACCCTTTAGCAGTTGGATAAACTGAAACATTCAAAAAAATTTTCTGGGTTCTGTTAATTTTGGAAGGAAGATTTCTTATAAAGGTAAGATTACATTGTTATTAACTGAAAGATTAATGCATGTGGTACTTTTCAGATGTGGAAGAGTGTAATGCACTAAAACTCACTTATTTTGCTTTATAGGGTATACAGGGTCCACCAGGAGTCCCTGGGCCAAAAGGCTCTCAAGGCTCTAATTGGCCAGGACCAAAGGTAATGGTTCAAACATTGTTTTTTAAAAGCAGCACTGTCACAAAACAGTAAGTATCGTTTCCAGGTTTTTCAAAAGTGCATTTGATGAGAAGAAAATATAACTTCATTGGAGGTAATAATTCCTTTTGAATCTTAGAGAGAAAGCCATCCATGTTATCAAGATCTTCCCCAAATGGAACATATTGCTTCTGTTTGCTTAGGATCAGCCCTTAACGTTTGTGAATATGAATTTCTGGTTCTAAAGGAACACATATTTTTAAGCAGAGGATCTTTCAGACATCTTTGTGTCCATTGAGTTTGGTGCCACATATATGCTGTGTTCAAGTAAATCATTTTACCAACAGTTTATCTTTAGTTCAGTGATGGTTTTGAGACTTCAGGCTAATCCCAGCACACCTTCAGCCTGGTCTTCAGCCTTCGATGGTCACCGTGAGAAAGAACCAAACCAAAGACAGAAAGAGTAGGACAGGAAAAAGAGCTGAAGTGTACTTAGCTGACCCTGCACTGCAGAAGGAGGGAAAGTAGGAAGAGAACACAAAAGTGAGGAAAATTGCTGCTGTCAAACCCCAGGCCGCTAGTGGTACCATGTCAGATGAGGAAAGTTGAATTTCTGAAATATGACAAGACCAAGTGGAATAAACTGATGAACTGCAAATCAGAAGTGTGCTTAGTAATCACCTTGATTTATGAAAGGAAGATATTAGACACTGTAGAAAAACCATGAGAAAACAGTAATTTTCTTCTGGGTATAATTTTGGCATGTAAGCAGCAGTTAAAGCAGCAATATTTAATATTAATATAGAGAAAAATAGGTACCTGTGAAACATGTTATGTTGTAGGCTAATTCTCTTCAGGCAATAAAGCAAAATTGAAACATGGAATTGCTATCTCTTTAACTGTTTTAGAATTACAGGAAGAAAGAATTATGAGGCTAAAACTTTCTCTTAATCAGGATGTCTGATTTTTCTTTATTTGGACTCACTTTTTCATTCAGGAACCAAAGAGGTTTTGATATAGTCTTGTAAAGTAAAAAATAAAATGCATTGGAGCATAGAAAGAAAGTTTGAGTAATTCACTTCGACTCTCTGCCCACTGCAGGGTTAGATAAAATAGATGCAGTCCTACAAGTTACAGGGGATTTTAAAGAACATAATTTCCCAGTTGAAAACATGACCACTTAGGATCACAGAATTGCAGAATGTCACTACATTCACCTCCATGTTTAAGCAGCTAATTAAATTGTGCAAGAAGTGAATGAAGCTAAACTGTGTTTCTCTATTAAACTAAAGACTTTTTGTTGCTAGGGTGAACCAGGTAGACCTGGACAAAAAGGACAACCAGGACTTCCAGGAATTAACTCATCAGGACATAAAGTGAGCTTGCTTTTATTTTTGATTGTTCTTTACATGGTCTTTTAATTCTTCCACTAATTGTTGATAACCAAGTAGAAGACTTTTTGGTACAAATTAACTGTGGTTAAAATAAGAAGGAATTTCAGTGAGGGTTGTAAAAGCATTGCCACTACCATAACTGGAACAAAGTTTTCCCCTAATCTTTCCTAAACTAGTGAAGTCTTTCCAGGGCCTGTTAGAAAGGTTGCTAACTCTGTACCCCTAGTTTTTCTGATGGGAAAAAAAACCAAAAAAACAACAGTCTGTGTTACAACGGTGGTCATACTGTCCATGTGTTGGAAGAGATGTAAAAAACTTAAACCTTTGGCTTCAGATGCCATTTTGAAGACTGTTAGCCATATCTTTAATGACTTAAGTAGGGCTTCCAAAATCAGGTAAGGTGGCACAGATATCTTGTTTTTAATTTTTTTTTTTTTTATCATGAAAGAAATGCTTGGCAGGACTGCTTCCTATGAATTCATTCAACTCTTTCTGGTAAATGTTAAAAGTAATGCTTTAGTCAGTTTGTACAAATGATGAGGGGTTAGTGTCCAGTAAATTAATGGACATTTTTGGTTGACCATCCTTGAAGTCACAGGTGTTTGACTTAGCAAGTAAATTACATTAATATAATATTGTTCTTGTGCACAGAATAACAAACAACATTCAGTCATGATTTTATTCACTGAATAAATATAAATTTATTTAATAAAACTCCAAGATTTAGGAAGTAGGTGGAGAACTTGGAGAGAAATTTCAAATACTTACTTCACGGGTATTAAAAATTAATATCTATAGAGTATTTAACTTACTGGAAATAACAACCTTTATTTGATGAAAAATATTTTTTATCTTTAATTAATATTTTCACAAACTGTTGGATCCATTTTACTGAATAAATTATTTTTTTGAATAGGCTGATGTAACAAATTTTTTGTTCTTTAAGGGAGATACAGGTCTACCAGGACCCCCAGGAGAGCTGGGGGTGAAGGGTGAGAAAGGGCTGACAGGGAAAAAGGTAAGGGAGAGAAAAAGGCTGACATGTAAAAGGTGAACAAAAAGGGTGATGAAGGAAGAACAGATTATTTGCAGGTTTGCAGTGGAGTTCACCCTTGAGGAAAGCATAAACCAACACTTTTGCCAGAGATAACTACCTGAATGAGCATCTGAGCTGCAGGCAAGCAGCCCTGCCTTTTGTGGGCAATTGACTACTGTTACATTTCACAATCCTCTTGGAAAGCAGCTAGCTCATGTCTTTAGCCTGTTCCTCGTGGCCTGTTCAGATCTTTCCTGACACCAAGAAGTAATGCTGCATCAGTGGCATTAGGGCATCTCACAGGTGAGCTGTGGCTGACATCTGACAGCTGAACCCAGGGCTCTTTGTTCTCAAGGGAAACTCTGAGGATCTAGGAAAAACTCCACCACATTTGGAAAAAGAAGCATAAATTCAAAATGGTCGACAGTAATTCAGAGGGGTGCAAAGCAGAGTGGCAAAAATAGTAAATTTAGAACAAATTAAATTAAAAGTTTCAATTGTAAATGAATGAATGAATGAGCTGCTGAGTAAGCAAAAGTCAGTGCTTTGCATGATTTTTAAGTGCTGCTGAGAATCCAGGCACCTCCAGATGGCTACTGTGCAGCTCTTATAAGAGGTTTGCAGCTGGCTGACATGTAGAATTGATAAACTGCACATAATTTGGAGTAAGCAAATCAGTATTTTTGACTGCAGGCTTTAAATCAGAAAATATTTGAATAGAAATGCATATCTATTGAGAATGCAACTTCATATTTTTGTCACCTAAAAGTTCAAATATCAGTCAGACAAGATCCAGCCTGAAGCAGTAAGCCTTCCACTATGAGAAAATATGTAGCATTTCTGTTGCTACTTAATTATATTTTTAAAATTTAAATCAAGCCCTACTCAAAAAGTAATATTCCAGTGTATCAGAAGTGCATCAGCATTAAGAGTAAATGTTGGGTTAAAGTTACAGATGGTCATGCTGGGTTTTTGGTTTTTTCTCTTGTATATTGCCTTTACTCTGATGATTAATTCTGTGCTGTCACCTTCCCTGTTGTAAGCCATTGAAGGTAAAAATACTGAGAGCTACCCTGGGTATTCAGGGCAGTGCAAAGAACAGCTGGATGCCTGCAGTGAGTAGCATGGTGATATTACAGCAGTTATTTGCAGGTGTGACAATGTCTCACCAAAGTGGGATCCAGACTGATGCCGATCAACAACAGGCTCTGTAATATCACTTTCATCAACAGTTCAAATCAGAAATGGATTTTAGCCTCATTTTTATCTACCTTTTACTCTCTAAATTACCTACATGTATCCTGATATACTAATCTGGCTTGTATTATGCATAAATATTTTGTAGGTAATGTTCCTTAATAGAATGTTTTGTGTGGGCTATTTTTGAGTTATTTAATGTAATGTTCCTGGCAAATATTTTCAGCCTGGATTGGCCATTGGCCATAGACTTGTCTAAAATTACTTCTCAGAATTGGCCTATGAAGACATTTTCTGTTAAATTTGCAAGCATTTCTCTTCCTTTTATAAGTATATGCATGGAATCCTTCCTAAAAAGGACTGATACTGTTGCAAATAGCACTATTACAAATGCCTGTGAAAATAAGGAATATGAATGTAGGAGATTGCAAGGGTTTTAAAAGACAGAATACTTTATTCTTTGTAGGAAAAAAGATTAACCAGATATTTACTGACATTTTTGGGGAAAGTATTTATGCAAGCATTGTTTTTCATAACTCTATCAGTAAAATGAACTACATGAAAAATAATTAATCATTTAATCTCTGTTAGGGGGAAAAGGGAGATGAAGGTCCAAGAGGCCCAGAGGGACTCCCTGGCAAAGGATTTGTCGGTCAAAAGGTATGACTTGATGTGCATACTGGGGAAATGCTACAGGCTTTTGTAAGAGATTGGATTCTGACCTATTTTTTCTTTCATTATATGGTAAGAATCAACTCTATTTTAGCTAATGATTTAAAAGGATTGAAGAGAGAGAGCAATGTGTTCTGTAGCCTGAAAAAGTGCAGCAAAATCAGACTCTAAACACAGAGCCTAAAGTTAATAGAGCAGTAGAGATTTCCTAAAAAATCCGTATTTTATTCATATAAAAATTCATTCATAAAAATTCAGAATTTTCATTAAAATTCAGACATGACATATTAGCTTGGTGTGTTGATAGACAAAGAGAAGCTAAGAGAAATTAGGAGAATAGTTAGATATCTTAATATGAAATTAAAAGCCTGGAAAGATGTATTAGTAGAGAGACAAATTTTATCTCCCATTTCATATAATTTAGGACATTCTAGAAATGAGCAGGATTTCAGTTGGAGTGGAGCATCTAAACGTCTCTCTGATTATGGGTTAATAATTATTGTTGTGTTTGGGCTATTCGTGTAGCTGCAGCTGTGAATGCATCTTTGCTGTGATTGAAAAAAAAAAATTTATTTTCTTCAGGGTGACCCTGGAGAAAAAGGTTCCAAAGGAATGATTGGTCTTACAGGACCAAAAGGCCAAGCTGGAGCAAAAGTAAGCTTGTTCTTCCATGGTAACCCTTCTCTTTGTATTCTATTAAAAAAATCTATGAAGCTTATGCAGCTTATGCAATGTAAAAATTTCTCAATCATCTGATGCTTGGAGACTTAACAGAACAAAGGGAAAGCAGAAATGTTTCCATCATCTATCCTAAATGACACAGTAGTCTCAAGGAGAAAAAGATATAATTACATATAGTTATGCATGAGTACTGATAAGCTAAACTAAAGTTGTCCAAATGATTCTAATCATGAGTATTCAGGAAATTTTTACTTTGAATCATTAAATTGCTGTTATAATATTTTGTAAGTGTGGCTCTGAATGAATTATAAGGAAATTGAAATAATATAAGTGTTCTGGTTTCTCCATTGGATTGTAAGCCAGAGAAAAAAAATTAATTAACACTAAAAAAGTCAAATACACAGTTCAATCAATAGTTATTTAAAACATTAAACTTAGACCAGCTTTCATATGAACAATATGTTGATTTAAGTATTTTTTATAGTATTGCTTGTTTTGCAGGTAGATCTATATTGTAGATATTTTTAGTTCAGAAAGTCAATTGCCTGTTTAAGTCTAAATTATTCTATTTTGTAACAGGGTGATTGTGGAGCCACAGGACTCCCTGGTGCACCTGGATCATCTGTTTGGGGACCTCCTGGACCAAAGGTGACTATCTGATACATATTTCCTAGAAACCAGAGATTGGAAATTTCTAGGGTACATTTCTGTCAAAATTAAAATAATCTGATTTTAAAAACTTAAAATTCCTTGCTGTAGGAACAAAAAATACTGAATTTCAGAAATAAGAACTAAAAAGTAGGAAAAATTAACAGACAGTGTTGGAGGCCACGCCCATTAATAGCATGCTGAACTTGGTACATAGTTATTTCATCCTGAAGCTATTTGTTTATAAAACACTCAAAATCTTATTAGATTTATGTTTTGGTTTGGTCCCTCCTGTGAAATTAATCAGTTTGAAGTTGGTTTTTTTTTCCAAATTTGCTATGCTTTTTGCTTCTTAAAATATGGCATTAAACCCCTGCAAGGATATGTTTATGTATAGTTCTTGGGTGTTATATGCTGGGTTTTTTGTGATGCGTGTTTGTATGCCACTTCCAAATGAACAGCTGGCCTGTATGTACTGCTTGAAATGAAATGTCATATATAACATAGCTAGGGCTAAATCCATCTCATTTTCTCTATGGGAAAAATGTACTTGAAATAAGTGGGATTTGTCCTGCTGAGTAAAATAGGTGGATTCTTCAAACAAAAAAAGCTAACTTTGAAGGTTTTAAAAATATTTGAAAATTCAGTGAAATTTAAATAATAAAGTATTTTTGTTACTTAAATTATTCTTGTTATGTCTGGTGACTTCAACTTTAGTTGATACTTTCCCTTTGGTGTTAGTTTTTAGAGTGAGGGAATCACTAATACGTATCGTATCATTCTGAAGCAATTTCATCCTCATTTTTCTTCTTCCTTAAAAATATATATGCCCTGCCCCACAAGTACAGGAGGGTATGGCATATACAATATATATAACATATACATTCTGGCAATAGGACATCACAGAGGGATATGATATGTTTTGGATTTGCTTGTGCATGGAGGAGAAAGAAAGACAAAAATGCAAGATGCTGAGGGTATACCTGCAGTAAAATTATTACCACATAGAAAAAAAAAAAAAAAAAAAAAAAAGAAGATTGTAAGATGTTCATATCTCTTATATTGGTTTGAAACCATAATAATGTGACAAACTTTATGCAAGGAGCATACAACTGAGGTGCTAAAAGACACAACTTGTATGAGGACAAGTTTCATTAAATCAGTCTCCCTTCTTTGTCTTTTTCCAGTTACTGTGACATTTTTAAATAGACAAGTAAGGGAGTCAAGATTGTTCATTAATAAATTCATGCTGAAAATAACTTTATAGAGTTCCTTGCCTCTTTCCCTATGATTTTTTCCTGTTCAGTACAATTCATACGACTTTCATAGCAGACGGATCATTGTCCAAAATCCAATGAAGTCTGTAGGAATCTTTTGAAATTCTTTACTAAGTTTTAGAGCAGGGCTTATATGGGCAGTAGCTGGTGGAAAAACACAAAATATTTGGGTAATTATAAAATGCAAGTTGATTTTTAGAAAATATAAAAAACTTTGTTTCTTCAATTCCATCATAACTTCTTTGATTTAAACAAATATCCACTATGTTTTGGACAGTTGATCAATAATGTAACAGGCTACACAGGTCTGTTTTATCTTTCATCTGTGGAAAGTACAATGATAACTACTGATTTTATTCCTAAAACATCCTGGTGTCTGCAATTGAGAAGACAGACATGATAAATTTCTAATGCAGAGAATATTTCTCAAAGCTTGGAGTTACTTCGGGGAGTCTGAGGTCTTTTTGGGACATCTCTAAGTATCTGAGATGGTGATTAGTGATTGCTAGAGGTCTTACCTCCTGGGCAGCCATGGTTATGTCCATGAGGAGTTTTTTTCTTTTAAGTTACACCCTCGTTTGAGGACTGGAGTTTTATTTCCCTTAACAGTAATCATGCTGTTATTAATATGGGGACAGTGACATTAGAAAGCTGCTTTTTGTAATTCTTTGGCATGGTTACAGTTGCTCAGTAGCTTTGATAGAGCATTTAATTGCATTCCTTAGTGAATGTTTCCTGAAATACTGCATGTTCTTCTTACTGAGAAATTGCAAATGTTTCATTGCAAATTTAGATTTTCTTTGTAAGTTCCTTAATGTAAAGTGAAACATCTGTTGCCAAAGTTTAAACACTAGAAGGAGCCAAATTTTGCTCCGTGAAGGGTTAACATAAGGAACATGAATTCTAAGCCTGATTGCTTTCCCAGAAAGCCACTGCCAGAGCTGTTATCAAAGAATTGTGCTGTGTAATATTTGTGGAAAACTCAAGTTTCTCCCTGAGACTTCAGAATACGAAACTTGCAATTTTGAAGTGCTGTGCCATTGCATCTATAGGCTTTCTAAACATACTCTGTCTCAGCACTTCTCTTTGAATTTCCTTGCTGTTCTCTATGTGCTCTGACAGAAACAAGGTTATGCAGCCTGCTCGTGGGCAAAAGTAGGCAGGAGCCACAGGTGCATCTGGCCTCTCAAAGTGAATTAGGACATTCAACTTTCATCTGAAAACTAAAGCCATCAAGTTATTTGTCAAGGTAGATCAAACTCTTTTACACAGCTGGGGAGAAGCAGAAGTGTAAGAGAGGTCAGAATCAAGGGAGTGAAACCTTCCTCTAGAAATACTGGTTTCATGTTACCTAGCTCAAAAATTGTCACTGTAAGGAAGAACCAAATACTTGTTCTTTTCTGTAAAACTTTTGAAGTTAAAACTGAATATAGTTAATATAGTTCTGAATTTGTTTCTTGTTGGATAGGGAGATCCAGGACACAAGGGACCACCAGGAGATGATGGACATCCTGGAAATTCAATAATGGGACCAACTGTAGGAGTTTTTAGACAAAAGATAGAAAGTAAATAAGTGTGAGACATGGGCAAAACTCCTGTGAAAATACTGACACCACTTGAATCTTCTAAGTAAAGGAATTCACTAATTCTTCAACTTCTCCATCATTCCAGGTTATGTCTATTTCCAAAATAAACTGATTATCTTTACAAAGAAGAAACAAAATTGTATAAATAACTAGTCCAGTGTATCTCACCTTGCAAACTTCACATAGGAAGTCGTCATTAGGAAGGCAGTTCTTCAAATTCACCTCTTCCCCTCTAACACACTTTATATCATATTGTATTTCTGTCACTTGTGATCTGGGTTTGCAACTTTCTTTAAGACTTCTGCCACTTCTGATAAGGGAGTATTTCAGGGAAAGGTACCATTCTTATGATCTCTTTTCCAGACTGAAATTGGCAACCTTCTTCAGAAACATCTTTTTATTCCTTTCCACTTTAGCATGTCTGCGTATAAAATATCCCACTCAATTCCATCACTTCAGTCTGTGGAAATATAGACAATAGACCCAAATTCAGAAATCAATTAATTTATGTCTACCTAACACAATGTAGCTCAAAATAAAGCCACTTAATTCAATATATTTTGCATGATAATATTTTAGGAATACCAGTAGTGGTATTTACTCCTGGCTTGACACAGTTCTACCTGTACCTCTACCAGAGGATGCTGAATAGCATATCGAACCATTCAGTAACTTTTATTTCTGAATTTTGAAAACTCTAAATCTCCTTTGTCTTTAATATAGAAATTGCTTCACTCTATTATTCTTATAAAAAAGAGGGATGAACAAGACTTAATTGTGCAGTGGTATCCTTAATTAGGTTTTAATTATAATATCTGTTTTATTTTCTTTTAATCACAATGGATGCAAGATTTATGTTTATATAATACATATACAACAAATACAACAATTTATATGATACAAATACAACAAAAACAACAATTTTTTGTTATTTTGAAAGGATGGAGAAGCAACAATCTTTGTATTATTACTTTGGAAAACTGCTTTGGTGGGGAGGCCTTTGAGCCTATTAGGGAAACTTCTAGGATAGTGCCCCAGAAGAATTTACCAATGGCTTTGAGAATGCCTCACTCCTTAGGGTGAGTCAAAAGGGGCTTCTCCCATGATGTTCTGCAGTATTATTTTAATCTGCCCTTTCCCCATAGGTCATTGCCTTTTGCCCTGCCCCTTGTACTACCCCTGTACCCCCAAATGACTGGCTCCTGGCCCAATACTTAACCCAGGACCCTGCCCTGTCTGTTTGCCTTTTGTCCCTGGAATCCTTTGGCGTGACTCTATGATGAGCCTCGCTGGAGCTCTGTACAGAGACCCTTTTCATCTTTCTTCACTAACCTGTCTGTGCTGTGAGGGTGGATTGAGCGCTTGTACTTGCTCGAGTGGCTTTTTCAGAAGATGCTTTCAGGAAGGTAGCAGCAAACACCATCCATTTTACTGCACTGCTACACTTTAGAACCTGCCCTGGAAAGGCTGGAAAAGCAGATTAATTCATTTAGCAGACTATCTGTGGCATCATGGGCATTTGCTCTCTTACCAGTGCACTGACTTAGAGTGAGTCACTGTGATTTTCTCTTCCAGACACTATAAAAGTGTGGGAAGCAGTAATCCCAGAGCGCTTAGGCCATCTCTTCTGTTTAAAAAGCCCCAACAAAATAATCTGGACTGGACAACTGTTTCTTATATAAGATTTGGCCATATATTTGACCTAAGAAGATTTATAGCATTTATGGTTATGCTACTAATAGCAAGCCCAGACACATGACAAAATCCCAATTCTCACAGAAGAGAATGTGTTAATATGTATCTGGTATTTACAGTGGCCTGCTGGGATTAAATGAAAAAGTCATCTGTTTGGCTGCTTTTTACTGTAGTGAGATTAGAAGTAAAAACAGATATGAACACATGATTTATGTTTTCCTTTCTTGTTAAATAAAAATTTCTGAAATATTAATCATTTTATCGACGGTATAATATCTATGGATATTAAGAATCAGGAAGAGATGGAATTGACTTTCCTTCCATTATAAAGTTATTTATGATTTAAAAGTATACTGGTTGTTTACATTTTTACAGAGGTGGATCAGAATTCCATCATTTGAAAATTAGGAGACGTGAAGAGACATCTTTGAAAGCTGACACAGTT